AACAGACCCTAGAAAGCTTGATTCTCCCCTTCTGCCATGTGAGGACACAGTGAAAAGATGGCCGTCTATGAACTAGGAACTGGGTCCCCACCAGACACCAAATCTGCCTTGATCTTTGACTTCCCAGCCTCCAGAACTGTGAGAAATAAACTTCTGTTGTGTACCCAGTCTATAGTATTTTGTTATAGCAGCCGGAAGAGACTAAAACAGGTATATAGTGAATAAGTTCCCCTCCCACTTTTGACCCTCAGCTACCTAGCTCCTCTCCCTGAAGGCAAACTCTGTAAACTAGGATTTTGCGTATCTTTCAACATATAAAACATACATAAAACTAGAAATTAGCCAAAAGCAACAAATGTAAGTGAACTTAGGTCAAAATTTGCCTATTCTGATCACTGTCAAATGGATATATAGAAGATGGTCAATTAGGCTATACTTCAAATGTGTTAGCGTTTTCTCTCACCATCTCTACTTCTGCTCATCAAGCAAATATCCGACAGGCACCTAACTCTTATCAGGGGAGTTCAATACCATGCTGGCCCAGCAGATGAAAAAGAAAAATATGATCCTTGCTCTCAAGAAGCTTACAATTTTGCTGAGGAGAGAAAGAAGAAAAGTATTTTCCCAGGATAACCCTTTCTCCAATGTCTTCCCTGATCTCCTGAATTCTGTCCAAAACTGAGCTCTGTGGCTCCTTCCCCTCCACCATTACCATCCCATCAAATCTGCTCTCTTTCTGGATTTTCCTAATTTCAGTTCACAGCACCAACAGTCAGGGAGGATGATAGGTTTGATTACGGGTGAGGTTAAACAGAACCTAAAAATCATCTTTGCACTCTCATCCCACATCCAGTAGATCAGCAAATTCTGACTATCTATCCTAAATATATCTAAAACTCATCCTATACTCTCTAGCCCCATTTCCACTCTTAGTTAAGACCTGCATCATCTCTCATCTGGGCCACTAACTGGCCTCCATACCTAAGTCTCTTCCTTCCAATTCTTGTTCCAAACCACTATTTTTGAATGCTTCCCATGCTTAGCAAGCGTAACACACAGGCCTTCACCAATCTGCCCTTTACCTACCTCTCCAATTTACATCTTACCACTGCCGTCACTCCTCCTGCAACACACTCAGATATAACAGTATTTCATCCTCCAACCACTCTGAACTTTTTTCTGGTTCTTCCAACCTATGTTGCACAATTCTCCACCTTGCATATGCAGTTTACTTTGTTTGAAATGCCTCTCCTTTCCCAATCCTACCCAACCACCTGGCTAACGCCTCTTGTGACAAGACCCAGATACTCTTCCTCATCAGGTCCTCTTCCCCACTCTGAACAGTTAATCACTCCCTCCACTGTGACATCACAGATCTTGTACATACTTATATTCTATTGCTCTTATTTACTCTAAAATATATGTATTTGTTTACATATCAGTCTCCCCCCAGTAAACTTGGTAGTCTTTGAAGTTGTCATCCAGTGTCTTATTTTTGTAAACCTGGTGTCCAAGCCAATGCACACCAAAATATCACAATAAATGTCTGTTGTATGAGCTAAGCGAATGGAGCCTTCTCTATCTTTTTCTCCATCTCCCCTTCTCATTTTCTTCCCTTATCTGATAGCATCCCAAAACCATGAATGGACCCAGTCTAAGGACACACATTAGTCATCTGATTTAAGAACTCATGCCCTGGATGGTGACTCCTCTTCCCAAAGGCTAAATGAGTGAAGTCCCTAAGTAAGGACAGCACAATTTTCCAGCAGAACCTCAAGTCCAAGAGAAGAATCTCTTTCCAGCAGAATCTCATGTCCTCTTGATTGCTATCCCAAGATAGCCACAGATTTCTAAATGGATTACAAGGTTCCCTCAGCAGGCCCAGTCTAGTCTTAACTAGGACTAAGAACAAGTTTCACCACTAAGATATCTCCATCAAAGTGTCTGAGTTGCCTGGGGGCAAAGATTTTACTCTGTAAGGTTCCAAATATATCTAATGTTTCCCTGGAGTATCCCTTGAAACACTGCTCCTCTTACAACTACTTGACTTTAAACCTTACTTAATCTTATTCTGGTACTCATTTATCACTCAACATTTATTTAGCACTCTGTGTTGCATAATATACCAGAGCTCTGGGAATATCACCATAATATATCTCATTTGCTTGACCTGAGCTGTCACCACGGCCTAAATGACAACCATGATGGTGGCATGGCTGCACCTGGCCCCTGTTTATCCTGTGCTTGGACTAGGACCCACATGCTCTCATCTTCCAGTCTCCAGTGGAAGGCATGCTATAAATTTATCCTAACTCAAGAGATGCCGAGCTGAAACTACAGCATCTAGTCAATTCTCTCCTTTTTCTAACTCTTCTCTGCCAACATTATCTTGCTTGTTTTTTATTTCCTTTACTTAGCTTCTTTTATAAAGTTGAACATTTAATTTTTCTCCTTCTCTCTCTTAAGAGAAATGCCAAATTAACTAAAACTAAAATGCTTGATGTCTATTACTTGTCTTCTTATTCATATATGGCTCCCAATACTTTACCTGTGTGTCAGCAGCTCTACAGAGAAAAAAGTATTTCCCATCCCTGCTTTACCAGCACTTTCTGGAATTACAAACTGAATGCTAAATAACTGTGGCAGGTGACAAAACACTTTCCTTGGTCATAAATCATGAGGTATAAAGAGAGCTTGGTAGAAGCTGAACCTAAGGCAAAAAGAGAGACACTCTCCTGACAAATTAGAACAAGATATAATCAGAACTGTAAGGGTAGCTTGGAGCACTGTGAAGGGGAACTTGAAGAAAATCTCGGGCAGGGCATCTTCAGCACCAGTTAAATAATCTAATACTAAAAATCCTACTGAAACATCAAGGACCAATTCAACGCAGGAAGTGTGTGGAAAACATAATAGAGGAGGCCAAAATCATTTCTGATCACCCCAGTCTGAGGGTGATCACTCCAATCTCTGCACTCCTACACCTGCAGATGTGGTACCCAATCCAAACTTGCTCTTGAAATGCTTATCTTACCTTCTAGATGATACATTCCTTGGCTGTTTCTTTCATCTTTATAACATCTCTCTGGCAGGCATATTTTAAAATCCAATCTCATGCATCAACCCTGTGACTTCCCAGCGTTAATTTACTTTCCCAGGTAGGTTACCCTACTGGAAAAGTATACTGACATCGTGTTCTTAGCAATTATATTATCATTTAAATATAGTCTAAGTGGGGGCCAGCCCAGTGGCGTAGTGGTTAAGTTGGCACCCTGCGCTTTGGCGACCCGGGGTTTGCAGGTTCGGATCCCGGGCATGGACCTACGCACCACTTATCAGGCCATGCTGTGGCAGGCATCCCCCATATAAAGTAGAGGAAGATAGATGGGCATGGATGTTAGCCCAGGGCCAATCTTCCTCAGCAAAAAGAAGAAGATTGGCAACAGATGTTAACTCAGGGCCAATTTTCCTCATCAAAAAAACAGTCTAAGTATTATACAAGTAATACATATACTAGAAATCAGTTTAAATAGTAATAAGACCATTTTCCCAGAATCTTTTCTTATGAATGGCAAAGCTAAGGCCAAATACTGAAAGTAATAATCTTTCCCTGACATCAAAAATACACTTCTACAATAATCAGCATCTTAGAATACAGACATTTCACAAAACGTGCATCTATATAATGCTCTAGTTTGCAAAGTAATGTCACACACTCATAACACTTAATCTCCACAATTTTTATTTTACCAGGGAGTAAAATTGAGTAAGTTGCCTGAGGGAATGGTTATTAACTACTGTTCTAGGACCTATGACTAACAAATATAATCAACATTAACACACATATTATGTGCTAACAATTTCATGACGCCTAACATTGGTTATAAAAATACTCCTGCCAGAGCTGAATAGCTAAGATCATTTATTAAACGAAGGATTTTAGGGTTTTTTCCATTATGGATAAGTCCGTCCTGAGTGTTGTAAAGCAATGCTTCCCAAACTTGAACGCGCATACTTAACACTAGTGATCTTGTCAGAATTCAAATAGTAACTCAAAAGGTCTTGGTTAGGGCCCGACAGTTCTAACAAGCTCCCAGGTGAGACTGATGCTGCCGTTCTGCACTTGGGCAGCAAGGTTGTAAAACATATAATTAAACCTAACTGGCACTACTAGCTAAAACTTGACATCCTTTCATCTTCAGCGACTCTGAATTGATACGATTACCATTCCTACTTGAAAGACAAGACTAAGGCACAGAGAAATGAGCTTTCCCTACCTCACAAAGGATATGTGGGGAACCAGGACTCAAACTTAGGCAGAATGACTCTGCAGGGCACTCAACCGCTACACGTTATCCTGACACTATCTTAGTTAAAAGGCAGATCCAGAACTCGAAGCCAGGTCCACCGTTCTCTTCGGTACCATTCTGCCGAGTCGGGTCCCTGCTATAATCAATGTGTCTAGGGTCCACATAAGGGGGTAGGGCAGGGTAAAGAGAAAACAGGGCCTCCGTCTCAACACAGCGGGAGCGGTGGGGAAGCGGCAGGCGTCCGGACCTTTCCGCGGTCGGGCCGGGGTCCGGGGCGGACAACGCACCGGGAAGGGCAGGGGCATGGGCAGGCCCGGCGGGCGGCCGTAGCCGGGCGTGAGGGGGCGGGGCCTGCGCCAAGAAGAGGTTCCGGGCGGGACGTACCAACGCGCGCAGGGGAAGGGGTGTCGGGGCCAGGACCGCGTTGCTCCCTCCGTGCCCGTGCCGAGGCTGAGGAGCGCCTACTCCAGCCCTCGGCTCCCTTGTGGAGTACTGAGGGACCGGGGCTCTTTCGCTACAGCCGTCTCCTTAGAGACTCTTCCTCCGGCCCCTCGGTCAAGTGGGAGGCCCCGGAAATGGGGGCCGAGCGGTACCTGGCCAGCCGGAGGGGAAAGAGTATCCGGTCGGTTACCAACTCCAATACGCCCCTCGCAAATGCACCCGCTCGTTTGCCGCCGCCGTTGCCCTTACCAGCTCTTTGGGCGGCTTCTCCTGGGTTTTTCCAAACAGCCCCATGGCGATCTGAACTGGTCTTGCCTCTCCCGGCTTTCCGTTCCCTGCGCCCAGGCAGGTCACGGGCAGCCGCCTGGGCGGGGCCCGTAAGAGAAAAGGAGTCCAGACGCCCAGAGAAGGGAGCGGCTGCGGTGCGGCTGGTGCGCGTGCGCCGAACGCCTGCGCAGGATTGGGCCGCGCGGAGGTTTGTCAGCAAGATTGCCTCAGTTGTGTACGCTCTGGGGCGGGCTTTGTTGAGCGAGGCGACAGATCAGGTGTTTGTTTCGTGAGGTGTAGAAGTGATTCCTCCGGAAGGTAGGAATTTATTGACTATACTTGGAGATTACAGCTGCACCTGATACTTCCTCTAAATGTAGATGTTGTTGGATGTCTGTATCTCCACCCAAAGTGTATTTACAACCCCTTTCCAAACGGCTTTGCTCTGGTGTCCCGTAGGCATCTCCCATGCAGCAAGTCAGAAATGACCGCTTGCTTCTCCCGCCAGACCTACTCCTCCCCTCTGTTGTTACCACCATCAACTAGTCACTAAACCCTGGGCACCATCTTCTCGCTCCCTCTCACCAAGTCCCAACAATTGTAACTTTTCAGTATGTTTGAACTCCAGCCCTCTCCATCCCAAGCGTCACAGCTTTTGTTCAGGCCGTCGCTATTTCCCATGTGGATGAGTCCTACCTGGCATTTGTGCGCGCGTGCGTGTGTGTGTGCGTGTGTGCGTGCGTGTGTGTCTTCCTACACTTCACATGGACCATGACCTTAATCAGATTCTCAAAGGAATCTGACTAAAAAGGATTAGACGCATTTTAGCCGGGCAATCTCTGATTGAACCTACACATTGAGCTGACGGTTGCTGTCACTACCTCACCTCATGATGGTGCAGAGACCATTCAGTTAGTGCCTCAACCCCATTCTCCCATCTCTGGTGGGAATGTAAAATGGTACAACCACTTTGAAAACCTTGTGGCAGTTTCTTAAAATGCTAAACATACACCTATCTTATGCCATTCCACTGCTAGCTATTTACCAAAGAGAAGAAGCGGCATGTGTTCTTACAAAGACTTGTACATAAATGTTCATGGCATCTTGATTTATGATAGCCAAGAACTGGAAATAATCCAAATATCCATCAACAGGTGAATGGATAAACCAATTGTGATAGATCCATACAATGGAATACTACTCAGCAATAAAAAAGAACAAACTTGATACATCTAACAAAATGAATGACTCTCAAAATAATTATGCTGACTGAAAGAAGTCAGAAAGAAAAGAGTACATACTGTATGATTTAATTTATATAACATTCTAGAAAATGCAAATGAATCTGTAGTGACAAAGTAGATCAGTGGTAGTTAGGGAACAGGCATTGGTTTGGAAAGAGGCAGGAAGGAGGGATTACAAAGAGACAAAAGGAAGTTTTGGGGGGTGATGGATATTATCTTGATTGTGGTGATAGTTTCACCAATAAATACAATGTCAAAACAAATTGGACACTTTAAATATGTGCAGTTTATGTCAATTATACGCCAATAAAGTTCTTTTGAAAAATAGCAGTACATGTTCATTGTAAAAAGTAAAGCCCCCATTCTCACTTCCTTAGGGGAAAAGGTCTCAAAGAATTCACACCAACTATTTATAATTATAATATTCATACCAACTATTTAATAGTTGGAGAATATACTTTTATGTATTTTTATTTAACTGGGATCATATTATACATATTGTTCTGCAATTTCCTTTTTAGAAAAATTTACATAGATTTTCATTGATGTTAGTATCTATAGCTGAGGGATTCCATAGTAGGAATGTACTAAAATTTGTTTAACCATTTCCCTATTGTAAGAAGTTCAGTGGTTTTCAATTTTTCCCTATTAAATAAAAAATATAGACACAGTTTAAATTTTAAAAGTACTACCAATGTTCTTCATACAGGTTGCACAGTTTTGAATTCCAACAGTGTATGAGACACCCTATTCCCTAAATCCTTTCTAACAATGAATATTATCAATATTTTACATTTTTGCCAATCCGAGGGTATAAAATATTGTTTGTAATTTTCATTTCTGTAATTATTAGTCTAGATGATCATCTTTTTGTATATTTGTTGGCTATTTGAATTTCTTCTGTGAATTGCCTTTTCATATTCTTTGCCCATTTTCCACTGAATTGCTTTACTTCCTTCTTTCCTTCCTCCCTCCCTCTCTTACTTCCTCCCTCCCTTCCTTCCTTCCTTCCTTCCCTCCTTCTTCCCTCCCTCCCTCCCTTCCTTCCTTTGATAATGTGAAGGAGCTCTTTGAAAACGAGAGATCTATGGAAATTTTTTTAGGTCTCCTTCACCATATCCCTCTTCATTTTTTTGAGAATGAACCATAAGGCAGCAATTTTTCAGGTAGGAGTACACTGGACTCCCAATTAGTCAACAATGTTTATTGAATGCCTACTATGTGTCAGGCATTCTGTAGGCTCTAGGAAAACTATAGTGAACAAAAAATAACCTCATACAATCTGGTGAGAAAGACAGGTATTAAACAATGATGATAAATAAAATTGAGTGAATTATTACAAATGTGCAAAATTCTGACTATAAGAAGAACCTGGTGATCAGTGAATCTTCCCTGAGCTGGAGATGTATAAGCTGAGACCTGAAGAATGAGATTGCAGAGAGGTGAAGCGTATGCAATGAAAAGAAACAGCATGTGCCAAAGAGCCTTCCCCATTTCCAGGTAGGGGTTTTAGGCCATGGGCATTTCAGTTCCTAAAGCTGCACTTGTTCTAAAGTTGGTCATCAAGGGCAGAGGGGCCAAACAGCGTGTGGAGGAAGGGTTGATTTGGCATGTGGCATCTCACTGAAATACTATGAAATACAGAGCACATAGCTACTGACAGAGCCCTATAAACACATCAGTGCAGTTGCTCCTCAGTGACTGGAAGGGCACTGTGCATCTTCCACACATTTTACAGGCTCCATCCTCAAAATAACATTTACTCTCTATTTGTGTCCTGATACTGCTTTGGCATTGGACAAAACTGAAACTGTGACTGGAATCTGTCCTTCCTACATGGACCTCAGGAAGCATGCATCAGATCCTCCCACCTGCTAAGACTCACATCCGAGGGGGTGGGAAGAACTAAGTGAGCAGGCATTCTAGCTCTTTGCTCCTGCCAAACACAGCAAGTGTTTAACAGGATCACACTCCCTTGCCACATGTTCACGTAGACGTTTATTCACCTGCATTTTCAAAGGCTTTATGTGCATTCTCCTCTTGATCCCTGAAAAATATTATAAATAGATGCATATCCTTGACTTGAAAGGTACTGCAATGCCTGATGCTTTAAATATTTCTCTGAATTTGAAATGAAAAATAGAAAGGTCTGTTTTTCTTCCATTCCCTAGTTTGTCCCTGCTCATTTCAGTAAGATTTCCAATCTTAGGGAGATTCCTGGTTCACAGCCGTTCCCCATTCACCAGGTAGATTGTTAAATGAAATGCTTTGGGCAAGAAAATCACAACCCATTTCCTGGCAGGAATTTTTGCCTAACAAAACCAAGATACACCGTGTTTTATACAGCAGATGGACTCTGAAAATGTTAGATATAAACTGACCTTTGGAAAATTGAATTCCCTGCCATGCCTTATATAATAATTCTGGAGTGGATTTATCTTAACTTCTGACTAACCTTCAGGTCTGAGGAGCTCCTAACCACAGCTATGACTTGAGATAAGTCAAAGAAAGATGTTGAGTCATCTGCCCATTTCCAACCTTCGTCCACCAACTTTACAATGACACTTGTATTGGTTTCCTAGGGCTGCTGTAACAAAGTACAACAAACCAGGTGGTTTAAAACAACAGAAACTTACTCTCTCACAGTTCTGGAGACTGGAAATCCAAAATCAAGGTGTCGGCAGAGCCATGTTTCCTCTGAGACTCTGGGTAGACTCATTCTTTGCCTTTTCCTAGGTTGTGGTGATGGCCATCAGTCACTGGCATCCCTTGACTTGCAGCTGCATCACTCCAATCTCTGCCTTTGTCATTACATGGTATTTGTATTAGTCAGCTTGGGCCGCCATAACAAAATACCCTAGACTGGATGGCTTAAATGACAGAAATTTATTTTCTCACAGTTCTGGAGGCTGGAAGTCCAAGATAAGTGCCAGCGTGGTCAGGTTCTGGTGCGAGCTCTCTTCTTGGCTTGGTCTTCTCACTGTGTCCACAGGAGAGAACTCTGGTGTCTCTTCCTCTTCTAAGGGCACTAATCCCATCATGAGGTCCCCACCCTCATGATCTCATCTAAACCTAATTATCTCCCAAAGGCCCTATCTCCAAATACCGTCACATTAGGAGTTAGGGCTTCAACATGTGAATTTTGAGAGGACACAATTCAGTCCATAGCAATGTTCTCCCCTCTGTGTTTTTCCTTCTCTTCTTATAAGCACACCAGTCATATTGGATTAAGGGCCCACTCTAAATCCAGTATGACCTCATCTTAACTAATTACCTCTGCAATGACCTTATTTCCAAGTAAAATCAAATTCTGAGGTACTGGGAGTTAGTACTTCAACATATTTTTTTGAAGGGGTACAATTCAACCCATAACAGCCCTCATTTATACACATGGGTCCCCGACTTGAGACAAGAAAGAAGGTAATAGAGGGTGGAGGGAGACTGGTTAGCTGAATCTTTTCAAAATAAACTTCTCTCCTCCATGAGAAGGGACATAATAGGGACAGTTTCCACTCATGAGGGGTAAGCAGATATCTGAGGCCTGTCTCTAGCTTGGAAGACATACCTTCCCTGAGGAATCACAGTAATCAGCACAGCCACCCCATATTGGCCTTCTAGAGCACCATTCCCACCACTAAAGCTCCTCTCATGGGACATTCACATGCCTTTCCTTATTTCCCCACAGCACAGCAGAGACAAAGCCTAAACTTAAAAAAAAATCCAGCTGGAATAGTTAAGTGATGCTTTACTAGTCTCCAAAAACAGTATCAGAATTGGAAGAGTAGCATGTGACTCACACATTCAACATTATGGTGGACTGAATATTCTGAAAAACATGCTACAGACACAGAGCGAATCTTGATAAAATACAACCAGAACTTTTTTATGTGCATGGTTGATCTCTCAAAA